TTGAATTATTAATTCAATACACCCGATAATTGTGAATAAATGTTCATGTTCAGTTTAATTCATACATGTTCGTGTGAAACCCTTCTGCCTTCAATAAATAATCATTCAATTTGTTTCAATGCGCGTACTTCTCATAAATTACATTTGCATACATGTAGGGAATCCTGGCATACTACCCAGAATCAATTTCTACTGCCCTTGATAGTTCCATTGTTTATTGCAAATCTCCGCCCATTAAATTAATAAACCCCGCCCACTGAGACTGCTGGAGCTGCTCTCTGGGATCGACCGCTGGGACTGCTGGGACCGTTGTGGGACTGCTGTGGGACTGCTCTGGGACCGCTGTGGGACTGCTTTAGCAGTCCCAGAAAGCAGTCCCCGGGACTGCTCTGAAACTGCTTTGTGTCAGGTTGGGTCTGGTCGGTACTGTAGATACTGCAGCACAAATGTCTGTTACATGTATTAGTGCAATCTTTACAAGAAATTTATTCCTATTCCATAGGTCAAAAGTCAAGTTCTCTTAAAAATGTATAATCAAAATCAATTAAGATTCGAAGATCTGCAAGAATTTGACTTTATCATTTAGAAAAATAACAAGTAGAATACAAAAAACTTCAATTAATATAGGCCTTGATATTCTTAGAACACAACACGGCAAGTATAAATTTAAAAGATGTTTCTTTGACCATTAGATATTGCAAGATGTGTTACAAATGAAACGGAAGAATTTTGTAAAGTTGAAATGAAAAGAAAGTTTTGATTCCAGATAGATTTATATTATTTTCACTCATGTTAAATTGACAAATTACCTGATTTTGTGATAGTTTAAAGTCATTGTAAGATTCAAAAATGCTGTTGTCACCACATTGTGTCAATGAAATGAGATTTTCATTCTAAGGAACAACCCAACATACAGATTTATTACTGTTAAGAAAAATTCAGATGTGAGTATTGAAAGCAGTAAGATCAAGTTATTGATTCGGATCTTTAGAAGTTGACAATATAAGTGTAAACCAAATTAAGAAATCATTTCAAAACACTTAACAGACATATTTGAAACATAAATCTAAAATCTTATAAAAAAAGTATAATGTATTTGAAAAAATTATAATTTCGTATCAATAGGTTTTTGCTAAAAAGAAATTGATATAGGTTCGTTTCATTGACATACAACATAAAATTGGCAAAACCAATCCATCAAAAGTAATGAAGAACTGTATATTGCTTTGAAAAGGAGAAAAAAGACACTTAGATCAAATGTTTGAAAAGCGTATGATTGAACAATCTTCATCCGACTGAGTAATTGTTTGGAAAAAAAGGATAGCCGTTTATGATATTGCATAGACTGTAGAGCTTTAGACAAAGTGTCTACCAAAATTACTTTTTCTCTACCTAATATGAACGTCCATATAGAATCAATAAGGGATATTTATTTTTGGAGTACCATTTTCATGCGAGCAGCATATTTGAAATGTTACTGTTTATCAAAATGACAAACAAGAAAAGATTTGTCACAAAGTATAGCCTGTTCGAGCACTAAGCACTAATTAGGCTGTTTGTCTTTGTAATAGCCCAGCAATATTTAGTCGGGTAATTCAATTGCTATTACAATTTTTAACATTAACTGTTTTATCAAGATGATATTTTAGCATTTGGTTTTGATTTTCTTTCATCTTGAAAGAAAAAACAAAAAAAAAACAAGAGGATGCGATTTGGTACTTATATGCACATTCTCATTAAACAGAAAGTGTAAATTACTTTGAGGTTTGTATTGAATTAACAAACGGCACATGTGATGGCCAGTGCACAGTTAGGACAATAATATTCAAGAACTTTAACGAATCAAAATTTTGATAGTCTTGAAGACTTACACGATCCTAATGACATTCTTGATACTTTCTATATAATGTTTAATAATGTCCTTGACAAACATGCCAAAATAAAATGTAAGAGAGTTAAAAGTGAAACTAGACCAAAGTGGCTAACTAAAGAAATAAACGAAGCTAGGCATTTACGAGATTTATATCACCGTAATAGGGATTATGATAATTTCCGTATATGGAGAAATAAAGTTGTACTCTTGATAGACAGTGCTAAAACTTTGTATTACAAATCAGCCATCGAAGACAGTTCAAATCCAAGAGAGATGTGGGGATATCTTAATCAATTGGCATCTAAATCTAAAACCTTAACTCCTTCCCATATCATTCATAATGACTCAGAAACTAAAAATTCACAAGATATTGCTAATATTTTTAATGAGCACTTTACAGGGATTTCAAATAAACTTTTACATAATCTACCAAACTACAAATTCGATCCAGAATTGTTAAGACAATTCACAAAATCTAAACTTGGTGATGACAACTTTTTTAGCCATAAACCAATTAGTGAAACTGAAGTATTTGATTCATTGAACGGGCTAGACGTCAATAAATCTGCAGGCACTGACTTCATTGGACCTCGTCTCCTAAAACTATCAGCTAGTATTATTAGTAAATCATTAACTCATTTAATGAACGCTAGTATCAGCAATGGTAGTTCTCCATCAAAGTTGAAACAAGCAAAAGTCACCCATGTATATAAAAAGGGAAGCAAAACAGACCCCAGTAACTACCGTCCCATACTATACTTTCTATACTTCCAACATTTTCCAAAAAAAAGCACAAAGCAAACCAAATACGAGATTTCACCTCCACTTTTGATCTTATAACAAAATCTCAATCTGGATTCAGAGAATTTCACTCTTGTAAAACAGCACTAACCAAATTAACAGATGCTTGGTTGCATGCTATGGACGAAGGTAATCTAATAGGTATAACATTTTTGGATTTTAGCAAAGCGTTTGATTTAGTGAGTCATGATGAAATACTGATAGAAAAATTAAAGAATTTCAACTTTGATGAATTATCAATTAAATGGTTTCACTCATATCTGTATAACAGGACACAATGTGTAAAAATTGGTACAACTTCTTCTGATGTCTTACCTGTCACAGCAGGAGTGCCACAGGGATCAATATTAGGCCCCCTATTGTTCTTGTTGTATATTAATGACCTCCCCTTACATGTAAGTCATTCAAATATCGATATGTTTGCTGATGATGCAACTCTACATGTTTATGAGAATAATATATTTAGTATTGAAACAGCTCTAAATTCTGATTTAGTAAATATTGAAAAATGGTGTTTAGAAAATCAAATGGCTCTAAATGTTGATAAAACAAAATTTAAGCTGATGGGTACTAAACAAAGGAAATCAAAATTAGATAATCAAAATCTCAGTTTACATATCTCTGACAAACACCTCACCAATGTTGAAACAGAAAAAACTACTTGGGGTACATATAGATCAAACACTGAACTTTCATGATCATGTAGACTCGGTCTGCAAATCATTAACATATAAATTGTTTACTTTGCGGAAAATCCATAAATTTTTTCCTTTGAAAACCAGAAAACTTTTTTACAATGCCTTTATCCTGCCTTCTATTAATTATTGTCTGACTATCTGGGGTAATGCACCACATAGTTACATGGAGAGAATCCATACGCTCCAAAAACGGGCTGCTAGAATTTTACTTGATGCTGCCCCTGATGCTCCTTCTAAGGCATTATTTGAAAAACTAAGGTGGCTATCTGTTTTTGACTTAGTAACTTTGCATAAATGTATTTTGCTGTACAAGATATTTAACAATCAGAGCCCGGCTTACTTGCAAGATTTATTTATTTCTCAAACTTCTAATGCTTATACTTTACGTTCAGAATCTAATTTTGACCTTCGCCTACCAGAACACCGAACAAATTTATTTAAAATTGCACTTCAATATTCCGGTGTTCATATTTGGAACAATTTACCTATAGATATAAGATATGCGCCAACTCTGCCAATCTTTAAACGAAATGTAGAAAAGTATATCTTCAACAGCAGAACTTGATTACTTTGAATTATGTATATCTTTTGCACATGTATATAATTATACATTGTTAAATCTTACTCATGTGACATTATACATGTATTACTTTTTATGTCATATAAATATATCTGTTTATTATTTCTATTTTATTATGATTATCATTATTATCATGTGACATTGTGTATATACGTGTATTATAATTCACTTTCTAAATTATTCATCTTTGCTAATTTGATGTAATACTGTTGTTGTAATTAGAAGGCCCTGAGGAAGAATAGTGTGTCACACTAATCAGGCCACCTTCTCTAAATAAAGTATTATTATTAATATTATTATTATTATTATTCCGGTTATCCATTATAAAGAATACACATGGATGTTTCAGGACCTTTATCTGAAACATAGAGAGGAAATAAATACATGTTAATGACTGTTAACCAGTTTAAAAAATTAATTGAATGTTTCCCTTTACTCAATCAAAACCCAGAACTTACAATTGCCAAGAATTTTGATTTTGATTCACTTTGTATATTAGATTGGATATTGTCAGGGACTCTGTTGATAGGGTGGCGCTTTATTGAATGTAGTGAAAATGCATCATTTCTTTGAAAATGTTATCAATATCTAGGAAACAAGGAATGTATATAAAGATCTAATAAGCAAGAGTATTTAACTAGATTTTTGAAATTTGCATCATTTTTTTTACATTTGTTTGTTGTTATTCTACTGAAAGAAGTAGTTTTGAAAAAAATGAACCTGGGCCTCCTAATCACGAACGTCCTACCACTAGCCAGGCTACTGTTATCGGTTGTAATTTTTAAAATAAAGATGGGATCAGAGGCCATGGAGGATAAAGCACTCCGTTGAGATTGGTCACACCTACCATGTGCTACTTATCATGATAAGATGAAGGAGAAAAAAAAATCCAAAGCCAATTCCTTGTGAAAATATTGCCTGAATGATAATTGAAGTTGTGCATGTACAATTAACTAACTACGCATGGAATCATATTTAACTTCATTTTTTAGACTTTGTGCATTACTCCCTAATTAACATATTTATAAATGTGACATGCTTATGATACCCAGGTCATGACAGAGTCCTGCAATCTGAACACACAAGATGTCATTGTCAGAGATGTTGAGTTCTGGCTGTCGTTTTCTTAGCATGGACACAAATTCTCCTGCCAGATAACACACTCTGAAAAGAGAGAAACATTGAACTTCCAGATGTCAATAATTTTCTGGTCTGAACAGGTGAATAATCATTTAATTAAAAATATGAAAACAACGGAGCTCTGTTTGTGCATTTATCATTTTAAAGGACCATGTTGTCCGTTATAGTAATGAACGATGGCATGTGTCCTTTATTTAAGTTCACCAGAGTGACTAACAGAGTCATATTAATCGCATTGTACGTTCCGATAAATATGGAGCTCGAAAATGAGTCGAGAAGCAGGTTTGCTTTTGACCTTACGCTATCATTTGAAGTGGATTCTGAAATACTAATGTATGCTGCAGTCTTTATGAGTAAAATGTATGTACTATCTTTGATAAACAGATTAGAAATAAATTTTGTATGTTAACTCTACAATATCCAGAGGATAGAATAGGACTATTGTAAATGAGTGTAGCTAAAATAAATTATGAATAAAAAGATGTGCATGAATATATAAGATTTTTATACACACCCCAAAGAATGTTCAAATCTGTTGTGAGATGCTCCAGGATATACATAATATTTTGCACCCAGCTGTTTCAGATACCGCAGTCTTTGAAACTGCTGTGTGTCAATTATTTTCACGCAGAGGGGATGGATTTCAAAGTGGCCATGAATTGGATCATTCACAATCTAAACAAATGGAAAGTAAATTAATTGTTTCATCTTGTTTTATTTTAAATAATGAATCACACAGTATGTTGATTATCACATGTACTATTTACTTCAAGTCAGATGCTTACATATTTGACAATTCATTTCAGTCTGAAGATTTTTCTTACCTTGCAAGTATAAAGGCCTTCCGAAATGTCCTTCAGTACATTTATGGCTGGACGGCTAAAAAACCCAAAACAACTATAGTTAAACAAACTTCCCTGTTAGACTGCAGCTGCGTATCCTGTTTTTTACCTGGTACCGGATTGTCAAGCATAAAATTTGTTTTTCGCTTAACTCGTATCACTTTCAGATTTTGACCTTATAGTTTTCGTGGGTTTCAAATTTCAAGGCAAAAACTATTTTGATATTATGTATTCAACCTCATAAGACTTCCATTAACTGTTCATTTTGGGAAAAGACCACATTATTAAGACACTTAAACAACAATAATTAGAAACTGCTTTCTCCATTCACAATTTTGACGTTCTTTTTTTGTCCCGAAATTGTTTACCAGTACCAATTGTCCCTACACGCTACAAGATTACAGATGCCTATTGCATGCATTGCTGATGACAGGACTGGAGAACTACATACTAGACTTTTAGCTCTAATTGGAATGAGACTCAAGACAATACAAGTCGTCGTCACATTGAGAAAAGATTAGTCAATGTTTAAAAATCCTTGGCTCTCTTTAATAGGCCAAAGTGTAACGGAGGCAGAACCCGCTTACTAAAGATTCTTCATCCTTTCAACCATTGGCATTATAAACAACACCACTTTAACAGGTCGGAGAGAATACTCGAAATCGGGTATTATCCGTGAAATCGCGTATAATACTCGATATTAGGGTATCGTTGAATCCGCGAAATCGGGTATTCCGTGCAACTTTCTATAAAAACTAAAGAATAAAGGAACCGCGCATTATGCCAGTAACTGTTACTTGTACATCAGTATCTTGTGGATTTATTTTTATTAAACCTAATTCATAAGGTTCTCAAATAAGTTTAAAATCACACAACAAACACTGCTGGGGTAACAGAGAGGACACAATGGCGTTATTATTTTTCAATATAATTTCTAAAAACAAATAACTACACTTCGTTTGTCTTTATTTCCCATTAAAGTATTCCATATACTTAATTTTCTAATTTGTGCACTATTCACAAAACGTGAAATTTTAAAGAAATTAAACGACTTACGCCGTGTTATGTATTTTTACTGAAAAATGTATGGAGTCCCTTTCTCGTGAAATATAAATTACTCCTAACAGTTAGAGAGTACAGTAAAAGCGAGTCGTAATTGTATATCTCTGCCATTATAAAATACCAACGTTATTATAAAGAAGAAAATAAAATAAGATGAAATAAATACCCACGGGAAAACAGTTTGAAAATAGCTAATTGAAGCGGAGTATCTTTTTTTTTGTCAATTTAGCATGAAATGTTTAATTCAAACAGACCGTAAATTTTTTGGTTGCATTTTAATCGATAAAAAATATACTATTTTACATTTATTTTATGCATTTTGTAAAAATTGAGAGCGAGAAGTCATATGAACAGGATTTTCGTGTTTTTTTGAAAGGGGGGGTTTAAATAAAAGTCAAATGTGTACATCTTTTCACGAGGTTAAAATACATGGAATTTCTCAATATAGATCGAGGTACAGTCATATTGATATATGAATTACATAGTCAAGTTTCCACATTTCTTATAGTTTTTACGCTTATGAACATGTTAATGAACAATCTGAAATAATGGAGTGTTCAATTGCCTTGGAAACTCTTGTCTTACTTTCTGGGAATATAATTCCTCATCTGACATTAAAATTTCATAAAAATCGTAGTCATTTCCTTTCTTTATCATAGACGTCGGAACCGGGGGGGGGGGGGGGGGGGGGGCTTAGCCCCCCCCCCCACTTTTTTCCAAATATATATTCATTGAACCTTGTTACATAGGTAAAGTCCCCCCCCACTTTCCACAGGCACCTCGCAGTATAGGCTAAAAATGGGTAAAGTTTTGGTGTTTGGAGAAAAATTTAGGTACTAAAGTTCGGACCTACCCCCCCCCCCCCCCCCCCCCCCCCCCCCCCCACTCTTCCTTACGATTAAAAATATTTAACCGACCGACCATGTATAACACAGTCGATTAAGAGAGAGGTCAAGAAGCCTTTAGCCCCCCCCCCCCCCCTTTGAAGTCGCCAGGAAATGGTAAAATATTAACACAGTCGAGTTCTCTCATAAATTGTTGTTTTGTCAGCAAATAGAATGTAAAAAAGAAAAGATTTTCAAAAAAAGAGAAAGAGGGTTCTTTTAGCCGAAATTTTAGACATTGTTATCATTACATTATTTATACATTCAAAAATAAATTTGATTTTATGCACAAGATGAATGTGAAAGTAATTAATGAAATGGTAAATCTCTTGTTTATACATGGCATCATATCTGGTGTGTGAAATTATAATTTGATTTATTTACATACTGTTCATGTTTGTCTGTTGATGTAAATTGTATTCCTGAAACTTTCAATTCTGTTGTGCTGGGAATGAATTTTGCATATACTTTCAACATAAGGTAAAATATAAAGCAAATATGTTTGAATGATAAATAAAAAAGAAAAGATTTTAGAAAACAAAAGAGAAAGTTAACTTGGCAACATGCGCCATCCCATTCTTTAAGTTTTATTAGGTGATTACACCTCCTATACCCGATTCGCGGATTCAACGATACCCTAATATGTTATCATAATACATTATTTATACATTCAAAAATAAATTTGATAGATTTGATGCATTTTATGCTTCCCAAGATGATCCATTTTGGTGAAAGTAATTAATGTTCCAACCGGGCATAATAATTAAGTTCTTTTAGCTCTTTCTTTCCTTGAAGCTCAAACCAATACTTACGAATACCAACCTTCCATTTTCAATTTTCAACAATCTCTTGAAAACTTTATACAAAGAATGGAACAAACATGCAACATACCTCCTTTCTTCTTAAAAAATAAATTAAAAGGTGTGTGATTCAAAAATAAATGTGTTTCATGAATCAATTTCATTTTTATTTGAAAATTGTTCCATTTTTGTTAAGAGCCAGAATGTACAAACAGAACAGAGAGTGTTAAATGTGTGGCACATGTTATTTATAACGGATTGAAACCTTAAATTAGCGTTTAAGGTAAAAAAAAATGTACAGAAAGTTTATTTTCATTCAAATACTATTTATGCATTTAGAGATTTTAATTAATCAGTAAGGGATATTTTAGGAAAAAAAAGAGATGCAAATGATATACACTTTGGAAGGCATAAGGAAAATCTTTTAAAATATACGTGTAAGTTAACATAAAAATTAATTTTTCGAAGTAATTCATATGTTGTCAATTACATTCAATATCTTGATGAACTATCAAAATTATATAATTTCTCTTTAAATAAGATTATTTTGATAGTCACAAATCAATTTGTAAAACAAACTATGGTCATGGAATGGCAAAATGATGGAATTTTAAGATAACGAAATAGGGTACAGAAACATGCAATAATAAAACAAGCAAACCTAATCCCACACTGTTCCAATTCTTCAGTCGTCGTGTCAAGTACCGTACTGGGAGTCAGACCATTTTCTAAAATTGAGGACTTTATGAATCAGTTTACTTTTTCTCAATTTTAACTTTTTAAATTTTTTTCATAATTAACTGTTTATTTTAAATTATGTTTGAAAAATTAAAAACAATATTAGATATGCTAAATAAAGTTTTAGAATTTCTTTACAAATTAAAGTCAAATAAAATAAAAATCATTTGTTATAACGCAAATATATATTATTGACACAATAATGGCGAAAAAGATCTAACCGTTAATAAAATGATATTTTTCACTCCCAAAAGAAGACATTTCTTTTATTTAATTCAAACCTGTCAACTTTTCAACTTCATCTTTAAATCCCTTTTTTTTAAGAATATCAAAACAATTTCCACAATTTAGATCATCAAGAGAGATAACCCGGTCTTGGGTTGGAGGGGGGTTGTGCTCTTCGCTTTTTGCCTCCACTGTGTCACTTAAATTCATTTTTAAGGGGACGCTCGACTTCTAGACTAGAATATGCTATGACAATTCTTTTGTGCGTATTCTTCTTCCTTGCTATTGTTTCTAGATCAAGAGGTCCATCTAAAATTAAAAAATAAAATAAAACTATCATAAGTATTTACAGGTAAGTTCTTCCGTCTTTAAAGGAAGATTTATTTTCCAGTACGCGGGAGACCCATGTGTTATTCTTATGTGTCCTTCAAATTATTTTAAGGTTTTCGTCGAAACGTCTTGCATTTATTTTACAGTTTCCTTTCAACTTACTATTGAGTTTTTCCGTTTTCTATTAAACACCTTTCTCGATTCTCATGTGTATTTTCCATTATTTTTACGTTTTTATCGCTGTTTTAAGTTTTCAACAGAAAACATAGATCAGCTCGTCTGAGCCGAAGGGTCAATTGACCCTTTTTGATCGCAATTTGTCCCCTGTCTGTCGCTGTAAACATTTTACATTTTCATAATCTTCTTAAGAACCACTGTGCTAGAAAAACTTATGTGGAAACATCTTCAGGTAGTTTAGATTCAAGCTTGTTCAAATCATTACACCCGGGAAAACGGTAGAGCCATAGTGGGCAATGAAAGTTGTATATAGGAATTCATAGAGAAAATCTTTTTCTCAAGAACAGCAAAGCCATGGCAGTAGTATGAGCAGCCGAGCCGGGAAGGTTAACTCAGTGCAATTTGCCCCCCCCCCTTCACTTAGATCCGGGATAGGGAGGTCAACGGATAACAGCCTGGGGGGATAGTGAGGTCAACGGAGTATAACCCTGGAGGGAGATGTGGTGGGGGGGGGGCAAGTGAGAGGGGAATAAGTGATTGAATTTTCTTTAGATTGGCGCCTAGACCTAAAGCATTATAACTATTTACGTTTGTGCTACGTGTTGGCATCGATACAAATTTTATTTACAGCAAGTGTCTATATTTTCTGAAAACAGAAAAAAGACAATAACAATAACACAATGTATAGGATTTATTTAAATTAACACATACAGAATTACTTTTTTTTCTTCTGTACCTTTTCAGTCTGGGGAATTTTCTCTTGTGTTTGCTGGGAGTCTCTCTGTGTTCCTGATTGGTGGTCTGGTATCCTGAGGTCTTGTATTCCCGAGGCTTTTTCTCCAGTTTTTATACTTCTTTCACTAATTGTTGATCATTTTCTGGTCTCTTATTAGCCTAATGTCCTAATTCATCGCACTTGTTGCACATATTCTGTTTATTTCTGGGACAGTCTGGGGTCTAATGCCCTAGCTCTCTACATATGAAGTATGGGTCCGTCTTTTTCTTTATAGATTCCTTGTCTTCTTTTTTCTGGTGGTGACTTTGACTTCTAATCATGACAACCTTCCACAGATCAAAGAAAATTCACTGGTGTTGTAGTTCTTCAGGTCAGTAAGCATGTTGACTCAGGCATTGTTGGTAAAGCATTACTTAGTCCTTCATTTCCAGTCGGAACATTCTCCCCCGAATTCATCATTGCCTGTGCCTTATTTCTGCGTCTGTCAAGTTTGAGGGGCCTAAGAAGACCCTAACCTTCCAGTCCGGGTTCAGCGTAGATGGTGTTTTACAGGATTATTTAATGGACATGCCCATACAGAGTATAAACATTGAGATCTGATCAGTTTGACTTACTTTTATTTATTTTTATGAAGATCATTTATCTGCATTTAACCATGATGACTGTGTCATACTTAATGTGACTTAAAGGTACTTTGACACAGATTTGAAGTAAATATTTTTTCTATAATATTACGACTTATATATTCTATAGCATTTCACACAAAAAATACCTTAAATCTGGAAATTTTTGCTGTAGATAAATTTTTAGCAAATTTGCGAGTTCAACGCATTCGCAAAAATATTTTTCTTAAAAATAAATTACCAATAAGAAAATGTAAACAAAGCAGTGTTCATTCACAAAATTTTGAAACGGAAAAATTACGCGGGTATGTTAAGGCAGCACATGGACCAGAATTCGGCGAATTAACACTTTTTTATAATTATGTAACACTAATAAATCGGAAAAGTCAAGCATAAAACTTTTGTTATAATTATGCATTCTATAGACTTCAATGGGACTTATACTACATGAAGCACTTCACCACGACGTCACCACGTGACGTCTATAATTAGAAAATATGCCTTAATGAAAAAGTGAAAAGTTCAACACTACCCCGGGGATAATTAATTTCAATTTGTAATAATAATTATGTAAAAACATATCTGTATCATGAAAAGTGCTGCTAGAATCCTACTCTCCCGACACAGAGAAAAATATTCTTAAGTTTCGCATGAAACCTTACCAAAATTTTTACATTTTGCTAATAAAAAAAATGCATTAATTCCCGTAAACCATACGATTCTAGCAGCACTTTCCAAAAACAATAGAATAAGAACTTTAGATGGAAACAAAAAAGTTTCAAGTGTGCGGCGTAACTTTTGCATCTTATTTGTTACGAACGACAGAGGAAAGGCTGATCGGCAAGTAAACACCCTCCCTGCTTTAATTTTACGAAGAAAATGTGAAGTATATTACCATACCTTTTTGCTTTATTCCCACATGAATCACACATGATATTCATTCTAAATGCTTTTAAACTCCAATTTCTTGTGTTTGTTTACATGAATTCTTGTTACGTTTCACTTTCACTCTGCTACTGCATGATCAACAGTTATGACGTCACGGGTTTGGTATTTAACCCCTGTGATAACTACAGAGAAATACGACAAAATTCTGTTTTTTTCTGCATATTTTGAAATTTTTATGAAATTACTTAGATATCATTATAAGAAAATGTAACTTCACATATAGCTTACTATGACGTCATTCATATAGGCAAGTAGAAATTTTGTATCCTTAACCTACCTGCGTAATCAACAGCATTTTGACCCGAATTCGCAAAATAAAATCGACGTAAAAATTTCCAGATTTACGGGAATAAAAAATCTTATTTCATTTAAAAGTTATTTATATTTTTAATTTTTTGGCGGGTTTGATTGACAGGGTAAGGGTTAGGGTTGACTTTCACAAATTTTAACTTTAACTCTTGTTGAGTATTAATGAAAAATATTAATATTATGTTCCAGAAAATTCAGTGTAGACATGTTCAAAAGCAAAACAAACACACAATATACTGTCAGTCCGTGCAGTTGTGGTGAGCAGACTTTGGCGATTAAACGCACCCGGTGAACCAAAACACCAATCAATAACAGAGCTTTCGCCCTGTTTACAAAAACTGTACATAACACGAGTGTGCTCGATTTGCTAAACTTTGTACAAAACGGAATGACGATACTTGTGAAGGAGAATTGCTTTCTAACATTTCTACTCTGAATAAAATTATTTTTCTGGATTTAAGTTTTGATGTTTCGCATTAATACACAACAAGATTGCTACTTTTCCTAAGGATTAAGAATAAAGTTTAAATTTGTGAAAGTGAAAGGACGTGTCAATCAAACCCGCTAAAAAATTAAAACTTTTAATAACTTTTAAATAAAAATAAGATTTTTAATTAATGTTTGTGTGAAATGCTATTAAAATATATAATTCGTGATATTATACAGAAAAAATTAACTTCAAATATGTGTCCAAGTACCTTTAATGTATTTAACAGTTCATATACGCACAACCTTATTTAGCCTCAGATATACTAAGAAAAGTCTATTATTTAAAATAAGTTTTAAGTCATTTTTTATAAGTTAAAAATTCATCACACTGTGAAAGATATTATACTTCCATCTGATTGAAGAAGCTATGTCATGCTAAGGGTTCTCCATCATTTGAGATTTTACTGTGTTGCAGAGTTTACGCGAAGCACTATTTTTTAGCGGTATTTTCGCGAACAAATTCGCATTATAATACAAAAGATTACAAGCACGCACTTATTTAAAAATCGCAAAATCGTTACTTAAATGGTATGGTCGTACATACTAATAAAAGGAAAAAAAAAACGTTTTGAAAATTCTGACCGATAGTCAAATTACTTAACATTTTTGAAAAGAGATTTGCCGTGTTTATTTATCAGATTTCTTGATCGAGTTACCGCATTACAAAAAAGGAACTTCAGAACAGTAAAATATTTAAAGAGTTCCTGGAACATGCTAAAATTTCAAAATTTTCGGCAATTTATTTATATCAATTAAATAATTTCGGTATGATGTTATGTTTGATTTACAGTGCTTACATAATTCTAGAGCCGTTGCTATTTAGGAAAGACATATTTAAATATTTTACTTAAATAATACAATGTATTTTATTGCAAGTACTAATTAAGCGGAATATTGAATTGTAAAAACAACTTATTTGACTTTGTTCCGTCATTCGTAAAGTCCGGCGAGGGTCTAGTAGATGATTGATTACTCAAGGTGAAGCCCTAGTAATTAAGTGTTATAACTTTTTGAATTGAAAGACGGTAGAATTGTTTGATTAAAGTTTCAGTTAGAGAGAATTTGTGTGTTTAGATTTTCTAATTATCACAACTCTTACTGTGTCGGCAAAATTTTTACTGTGTCGCATGCATGAAATTTGAATCGTTACTGTGTAGGAGAAAATTTCACTATGTCGGGAGCAACACAGTAAAACAGCTCATGGAGAACCCTGCATGTTCTGTAGTTTTTATGCTGTCAGAAATTATTAATAGTTTCATTTTCACTTTAGATTCTAAGAAATTAACTGGCTTTCAGAAGATGTAGGACTACATGCTTGTACATTTTTACACACTATACAATCAGTCAACCCTATTTAACAAAATTGAATCTGCTGTTAAGAAAACAGTCCTTTTATGCTTAAAAAATTACTCCCAGACAAATAGAAGTTTTAATGGTGATATCAGTAAAGTAAATGTGCCAATTAATAATCTATAGATAACATGCATAATCATACATATACTATTCTCATCTAGAGTAGTACTGTTAATTATGTATCTAATTATTGCATTGTATTAAAAGAGGTAAACATGTCATATAACATAATAATTTCGATATATAGTTTTATTCTGCAGTCATTGGGTATATATTTTGTACCTAAACATCTACAATCAATACTCTTCCTATGGAAATACACAATTTATCAACCTCATATAGAAACTAACTTGCAGGTTAAGGTTACATTGAGATTGTAATTTTGTTTCACTACCTATATTTTTATTTTAAAATTGTTTAAGTACAGTGTTATATTTCCTCTTGTTTGAGATATTTTCCCATGGATACGACTTCCTATACTGAAACGCAAAAGAAAAGCAACAAGCAGTAATCTACAAATGTTTGAATATTTTATCTAATGATTTTCAAAAAAGAATACATTTAGGCTTAAGGTTCATTGATACTCTGATAAGAGAGATAACTCTTAATGAAATAAATATCGATTATTCCTTTATAGATTTGCCAAGTTGAAGTGTCTATATCAGTATATTGTCCAAATTTGCTTCGCAAGCTATGCTGTAATTGTTTGTATTTTAAATATAAAATACATTTCTTTTGGAAAATTGTTTAAGTAAAAGCAACATTTTATATGAGTGAGCAGAGGGTTTTGACCCTTAACTCACTTTTCAGAACATCAGGTCTGGGGGCCATAAAACGTAGACGAGCTCACTTTTAATCTCAGTCTCTTTTTTACCAAAGGAATATATAGTGGAAAAGTGAGACTGAGATCAAAAGTCAGCTTGTCTAAGTTTTATGGCCTCCAGGCCAGAGATTTGATAAAAATGTTAAAGTTTATCTTTTAACTTTATTAAGTAACATATGACTGTTAAAACATCCCTTCCCAGCCATTCAATTCAACGCGCAAGACTGCCCTAAACAACAATTGCAGCTTAATTTTTACGATACAGTAGATTAATTAATATCAAGATCTGAGCGAAGGAAGTAATCTTTGCCATTCTTAAATGCCCGTTTATCAGATGATCAGGTCGAATTTTCTCTAACTTAGCGTATTGTAGTAACCCATGGACTTCCTGTCCAAGAACTATCATTTATGCATATGATACGTAAGACCCCGTTGAGGCGTAATGTAGTGTATTTTTGCATCATCAACTCTCCATCACCTTTATGTTGATGTTTTCCAGTTAGAGCATTGAAAATGCGTACTAAAGCCATTTTTCGAAAAGGAATACCTCAAGAAGCCTTAGCATCGTTACGGGAAATGAAAGGAGATTTTATTTTTTGAAATATTGCTGCATTACTTAAGATGAACAGTAAAAAACCCCTAAAACTCCATTATATTGCCAAATGTTTTGTTAAACATGCAATTTGTGGTTTCTGTTAAGCAGACTCAAACGTATCCTCCAGTTATGGTACAAAAATCATTCAACCGTTAAATTACCAATATTTACCAAATTGAAGATACCCGTAATTTTTAGATACAAAATTCTTTACTTTAATTAAATATTTCCCCCTAAAGTAAGGTGTTGCGCTTCTTTTGCGTGTCAGTATATAATGAGATTTTTTTTAAAGTGATAACGTTTTATCAATTAACAAAATGCATATTTTTATCAGAAATTTGAGTTATTCTTTTGAAACCTACTTAACCAATGACACAATTTTTAAGCGGTTAGCTAGCTAACCGCTTTATGGCTTGGGTGCTCCAAAACCGGAAACTTCCATAAGGCGCTACCTATCGACATCGGTAACTTCAGCAAAGCGCTTCCTATGATTTGTATACTATTGGCATAATACGCCCCCTGGTGAGAAATTGACAATATGCTGTGTACGAAGATTGGCTATTATAACGATTATATCGAATTCTTATTAGTATTTACCAAAGCATTAACAATACTTAGAACACTAACTTCAAAGACTGAGAATTAGGTCCTTATTACATGTACATCGTGCGATCGCGATTTATAGCAACTGTTAGTTTATTTTTGAAAGTTGAACGATACGGTTAATTATACAGCAGGTTAAAGGTTATTACAGACTGCAAAAACATCAACAAATCTCTCGATCGAGTTTGATTTTCCTTGCCAAAGTATTAAGAAACACCATTTATTAAGTTAAGTAATACCTGAAAAAACATTTTTATAAAAACACCGAATACATTTGAATGTTTTTCACTTTTTGTAACGTTTTATGGAAACAATAGGATTACATAATGTACCTCCACAATGAAAAGTTTGTTTTTCTTCTCTTTTCGTCTCTGTCTAATAAACAGATTATAAAAGCTCTGCTCCCAAGGATAAATTCTCTACCCCGTCTTTGATAATTTATTACATGTACAAACGATCATAAGGGATCGCTTACTTTTAGTTTTAAAAAAATTATGGGGCACTTAAAGTAGTAAAATTAATTTTGAAAAAAATGGATAAATATATATTAATTTTAATCGGCATTGTGATCCTTTTCTAAAAATCAACCGATATTATTATTCACAGAAGAATGAGGCATGAAAAATCTTTGCAATTAGCAAAAATGTAAAATATATGCTTAAAGCTTATTTATAAGTTTTGAAAATTTGATCAATTCCTAGGGAACGTATTATTAGCTGTGAAAATACTTTTTAAATTTGAATTTGTCCAATTTGTCGATTATTATTTTGAGCGTTTGAGTAGAATTAAATTAAAATCAAGTATTTAGAGGCACATTGATAGAAAAGAAATCAGTGTATATTGTTTAACCGACATATTGAAGAAAGTGACACTGATAACTTCTTAAGTTACACTGACTTTTAGTGTACATTTGAATTTTTAAATACTAGTATTCATTGATTAGACAACTTTCCTTTTCACATGTTTTATTTGAGAACAATATTGCATGAAGAGTATGAGGCAAATACACATTATATGTCCTTATCTAGACATATTGTGCAAGACTTCTTTTAAATGATTCTCATATACCACCATATTTACTTTATTCGAACATTTACTTGTTTAAAAAGTCAATAAAGTACACTTCATAAAGCTCGATAATCTTGTTTACTCGCCAGTCTTCCCGTAGAAGTAGTAGTTCATAATATTACTAAACGGAAGTATTCAGTATCTATATCAAAATACAGAATGATCAATGATCGATTTAATAATAAAAGCTGACTCCTGAAATTTCAAGATGTGGGATCCGTTGCCTAGAATAAGTAAGCATCCCTCGTTGACAGGTTACAACCCCTACGCAACTGAAGCTCTCTGATATCAATTCATTTACAATGTCTCTGCTCAGTAATCTTTTTTCTCTGACTAGCCAGCTGTAGATCTACACTACTCCAAATCCTTTAATCTAAAGAATTTAATTTGTCATTTTTTCAGTTGCTTGCTATATATATAGTAGGCTTTTCAATTACCTAACTTCAGATTCAATAGAGCATGAAAGACAATTAAATTTTCAACATCAACATAATTGTTTTCATCCAGAGAACGATTGGATGCCACCAAGAGAGAACTTTTAAAAATGCACTTCCTGTCTTTCAAACTAGAAATCCCATGTTTAAATTTTGAAACATGCATTTCAATCTAATTAAAATTTATTTAAATGTTCCAAATCCGCTACTGCTTCTCAGACATCTAACATCCCATTCGGGGTCACATCAGAGCGACCTTTCAATTATGAATACATGTACTAGTAAACACAAACACTTTGGCCACGTAGATTCAAGCCTCGGTAAACAATTCTCAAATTAATTCCACGGCTACATATCATCATTATTGATACTGTCTTACGTTGAATTAAAGTAATTTTGGAATCAATTTCATGTATAGTCTGCAGTCTGGCATCTGAACGTGAATAATGCAAACGAAAGTGCACAAACTGTACAAGATACCCACACGTCATACATAACACAGCTTATGCAATGCATAATTTGTTTACTACAAAACTCCTCGGGTGTTTTGGTTCGGTGGTGAAAACAAGAAACCCATCTGAACTATATAAGCCAAGATTTCGGAGGAACCATTTTCTTTGGCTAATCGAATATTCACTTTTATCATGACCCCAAATAGGATGTTGTTAGATGTTTGAGAAGCAGTAGCGGATAATCTAATTTTAATTAGATTGCATCCATCTGTGATATCAGTTTGGAATGTTATTGGTTTTACTATTAAGTAAAGTATTACAAAAAGAGAATGTCTGTTTTTTCTCTGATGACATTGGACAAAGATATGCATACTTAAATATCATCATTTCATGCACTTTTTTCGGTACATATCTATGAAAGCATGCTAACCGCTTTTCAGTACTTTCAGTACTTTGATTTTTTTTTATCAATTCCAAAATTGAGCTTTTTTTCCTTTAAATTTTATGTTCACTTCTAAAGTATTTCTTGAATAGATAGGACGAAATCGATCTGAGTATTTAACCCCACTGACGGTTATAGCATATCAATAAGACAATATTTAAATTCTGATAGTATTTATATATTTCTATGCATTTTCATTTTCAATCTCAAATACAAATATTAGGAGTAAACCATGTGATGCAGTGGTTACATTTTCTGAGAAGTTGATCCTTACGTCGCGGGTTCATCTTCGACTGTGGGATGGGGACTTGTACGTTGGATTAGACCGTATAACTGATATCCTGTCTCGCTATTGGTGCTAACAGGAAAAAAATACCTTCATGGCCCGAGTGCCTACTGTAGGTCTAAATTTGCAGCCCTCCACCGGCAAGTGGTGGGCTACATATGAGTGAACAAATTTTGAGAAAAACGTTAAAATAACAAATAGATTAAACGTACAACATAAAAAAACTTACCTAACAAGTTGATGTCACTTTGCCTAATCTGACGACTTATTGTAGCACAGATTAAGTGAATTTAGAATATGTTTCTTAAATATAAAATACAGGTATACGTATAATACCAGGCTCTTTTTATTCTTCCGTCTTCCTGAACTATGTACATGTATATGAAGAGTATATCATATTCCATTTATACTATTCTTTCCGAATCACATGACATTTTTTTTCATTGATTTTGGCAGTTTTCCCTATTTGTTGACTATTTGACATGGAATAAATTCGTACGTTTTCTTCTCAAATAGCAAAACCGACTTTTGAGTACATATACACATCTTAATTGCCGTAGGTTTCTCAATTATTGTCCCCCGTTTTCGCGAAAGCGAGGGGACATTAAATCTCATTCGTCTGTCCGTCATACTGTCAGTCTGTCCCGCTGTCCTTGCCCATAACTTTTGATTTAGTTGAGCTATGCCTTTCATATTTCACATGTGTATTCCTTGTGATTAGAGCTTTCTTTGAGTACCACCAAATTTGACCTTGACCTTGGAGTTTGACCCACTTTTACATAAAAAATCTTTTTACTTTGACCATAACTTTTGAATAGTAGGTACTAGGACTTGTATTTTTCACATATATATACTTTGTGACAAGACCTTTCATAAGATATTAACAACTTTGACCTTGACCTTGGAGAGTTCCGTACTTATGAAAAAAAAAACCTTGACCATAACTTTTAAACGGTAAGGGCTAGGGCTTTCATACTTCAAAAATTTAATTCTTGTGAGAAGACCATTCATTGGATACCAAGAACTTTGATTCTTTGACCCCTTAATTTTGGAGTTTGACCTACTTTTCAAAAATGTTGACTTTGGCTACAACTTTTGAACAGTCTATACTAGGACTTTATATTTCACATATGTATTCTTTGTAGCAAGACCTTTCATTTTATATCAACAACCTTGACCTTTTGACATTAACCTTGGGGATTTTTCGTACTTATGAAAAAACTTTAACCTTGACCATAACTTCTGAATGGAAAGAGCTAAGGCTTTCGTACTTCACATATGTAATTCTTGTGAAAAGGCTTTTCATTGGATACCAAGATCCTTAACCCTTTCACTTTGACCTTGGAGTTCAGTGATGGTTTCTAAATAAATAATATATGATGGGGTGTTCATAATTTATGATGGGGTGTTCATTTTGCACACAATATGTTATAAAAAATGACATCTCACCCACAAAGACACCGAAAGCGGGCAACCACAATGCCCTGAGTTTGCTTTACTTGAAATGCCCAAAAGATATTTACGTATGTCAATGATTTCCTCTCCGCATCTATTGCCTTGACCTCGATATACTGTAAAATCACAAATTTTCGTGGGGGTTTAATTTTCGTTGTTTTCGTGGTGAGAAGAGACCCAGGAATTCATGACCACCACGAAATGTAAAATATGACATACATAGCTACGCAACAATTCTAAATCCACGAAATCAAATACCACGAACCAAAAGTTTTTCCTCAAACCACGAAAATTTGACCCCACGAAAATATGTGATTTTACAGTAATTTGATCACCAATATAATGTAAATCAAACTGATTAGGACATTGTCAAAGCAGGCACACAGCAAAATAGACACTGAAATAATGTATTTGTTTTTTTTAAGGAAAAGGAGCAAATCTAAAAATCTTGGCATGCGAGGACGAAAACAAGTATTATGAAGCATTGACTATGAAATATATGTGTAAAGTTTTTAGAGAGACTATTTTATATCTTTGATGTTTTGTTTCCCAACTCGATGTTTTCTCACATTTCCAAACTTCCTGTGTCATAAGTTTCCAATGGATCTGTTTATAACTAAAGATTGATTTTTGTATCATACAGCCGAGAATGAATAAATACTAGTATGCTGTGAACTTAAGATATAAGAAACGACATAGTCTGCCGCATCTGTTTCCCATTGGTATGTTTTACCGACTATAGACGATAAGGACAAACAAACAACGGAACTATATGACAAACGAGATATTTTGAGCTTGTCCACGGACATTTTTCCTTATCTATGGTGTAATACTTCGCTATCAACTGCATAACTATCGTGTTTATGTCTCCCAACTTATTCGATACTCAAGAGCATGCTTGAAGTACAACCAAAGAACAAGGTATGGTTTCCATACAAATTTTGCCCCGTAATTTTCAAAAAAAAAAAAAAAAAACTGGAGTAAAAGCTGAAAACTCATGCTTTTTAAACAAAATTTTGCAGAAAAATCATACAAGTCATTTTTCTCACATGTGTTTTTAAATGCTAATTATGACGTCATAAACATGTGCATTTTTCCGTATTTTCTTTAAAAGTTGGAAAAGACACTAATTTTTAATTTGGAATTTTCTTTCAGATAACATTGTCCACAGGCATCGCCCACAAAGATCTTGAGATGTGTGATTTGAAGAAATTAACAATTAACGTGGGCGAAGGCTGTGGACACTGTTTTCTAAAGGAAATCACCCTTGAAATGGGTCATTTTGAGGCTTTTTCTATTGAAAATAGAGAAATGCTTCACATTAATGACGTCATATTTGCAGAGTGGTCAATCATCATGCCATATTCTTTCCTTATTTATCACAGTCATATACGTAACTAATATTTAAGCCAGTTTCAAAAGTTTTTGATGTCATTACATTTTTAGGGCGCAATAAAGCTAAAACCATACTTTCTTCTTTGAAGGCCTTTGAAAGCTGATGACACAAGGATGTAGACAACCTTTTTTAAATTCACCATTTTGAAAATTCTATGATTGTTATAATATCCTTCTTTGCAAATATAAATCATTCAGCCGTATTCAGACAGAACTATTTCTTACGAATTGTCTATGATTTTATTATAAACATGAAAACAGAATTCTATTTACCTGATCAATACACAGGGATTAAGGCGGATGTGACCGGTCGACAAAGGATAGATTCTCTACTGGAGAACTATGAGTGGCTACAGGCCCAACAACCCCCCGGAATGTATCAAGTACAAAAAACGAAAACAGTTTCAATATGGACCCTGATAAAATATGAAATTTAAATAATGATCATGTTTTTTAATACTTTTTACCAAAATTAATTGAAAATTCAATATGGTCACTACTGGTTAGCTGAATATTTGCCTCTAGGCTAAGCAGCAGGTGCATAGTCTGTGCCACAAGTAGAGCGATCCCTCCCTTATTTAAGGCTAAAACATGAAAATCTTGGACATGGTGAAGCTGTAAGCAAAAATAGTTTATTAATCACACAACCAAAACGACTCATCAAGCTAACTAAAGGGCCTGATAAACAAGAAAAAAAAACGCTATGAACCCATCAACACTAAGTGAACACTTTTTGGCAACACAAAAGGGAGCCGTCAACAATGTTGCTTTATGAAGCCGTATGTCTAATTCACTGCAAACGTGTACCGAATGAGGAGGCGTCTGCATGCAAAAAGGCATGCGTCACAAGTGAAGATCCTACAATCCAAATTCTCTTTTGATCTACATGTAAATAATTCGGTTGCCGTGTGTTGGTCTGGGCAAAATTTTATTGATTAATTGATTGTATATTGTTTAACGTCCCTCTCGAGATTTTTTCATTCAAATGGAGACGTCAACGTATGTCGGTGAAAGGCTCCAAATTTAGACCTATACTTTGCACTCAGGGCCATTGAGAATTGAGGGTTCTTTATCGTGCCAACGCCCACCGAGACACGGGACCTACCTTTTTAAGGTCATATCCGAAAGACCCGTGACTTTCACTTCTTGTGCCAACTTTTGGCGAAGGAACAGTCACTACTCATGTTAACGTCTCAGGTATGACACGGCGCCGCGAACGAGAATCGAACGGGGGCCTCCCGACCACGAAGAAAAAACGCTCTAGCACTAGGCTACCGTGACCGATGCAAAGTTTTAAATAACTTTCTAGTTTGGAAATTTGAATTGGGGTAGTAGCTCTGTTACTAATGTTTAATGGCTGCACTGATCTTGCATTGTTTCTGGTTGTTGCTGAGTAGGCCCCTCCAGATGACTGTAGATCACTGGGATTAAAGCTGAAAGATTTGCAGCAAATTAAAGTTTTAATAGAGGGGTGGTTATGTGAACACCGCAAGCATTGATCCTTATAAAAAGGTTTCTCTGACATGAAGCCCAGAAAGTAAGATTGTAACATTTGTTCCCTTGATCTTTGCTGTTATAATCGTTCGATGCTGTGGGAGATGGGGTGCATATACAGTAACCATAATTCCTGGTTGACGTGAGCATAAAACTAGAAAATTTGGTGCATACTTATTTAAGCGCAAACGAAAGAGGGAATGCATTGGTGCAAATAAGATTAAGCGCTATCAATTGTCATTAAAATATTTATGTGATATTTTTTTCAGAAACACAATTGCACTTCTGTATATAAGTAAACATTCGTGTTTCGAAAACATGGTGTTTCAATCACATGGACGTAGCACAATGTCAATTCTATTGTCAATATTTTTTTTAAATAAAAGAAAACGTGATGTATCTAAATCCATTTTATTCATATTAAAAACCGGTCACGGTAGCCTAGTGGTAGAGCGTTCGCTTCGTGATCGAGAGGCCCGGGTTCGATTCTCGTTCGCGACGCCGCGTCATACCTAAGACGTAAACAAAGGTAATGACTGTTCCTTCGCCAAGCTCTCGGCACTAGAAGTGAAAGTCACGGGTCTTTCGGATATGACCTTAAAAACGTAGGTCCCGTGTCACGGTAGGCGCTGGCACGATAAAGAACCCTCACTGCTCAATGGCCCTGAGTGCCGAGTATAGGTCTAAATTTGAAGCCCTTCACCGGCATACGGTGACGTCTCCATATGAGTGAAAAATTCTCAAGAGGGACGTTAAACAATATACAATCAATCAATTATTCATATTAAAACAATACATGCATCGAAAGAAAGTTACTTGGATAAACTGGTAATCATTATCAGGAATTGAGTGCAAGCTCAATCGGCATGCTTTATTTTATTCTTTATCTCCGGGCGAAAGATGATTGACACGCCAAGAATTCAAACTTTGAAGGTGCTTATGATAAGTATCGGGTAAACAACTCACAAAAGTCTAATTAAATTGTAATTTGACAGAATTTTCTAGATC